AGGACTGAGGGAGAGGAGACCGGGGGGGGGGTGATGAGGAGGAGGACTGAGGGAGAGGAGACCGGGGGGGGGTGTTGAGGACTGAGGGAGAGGAGACCGGGGGGGGGGTTGTTGAGGACTGAGGGAGAGGAGACCGGGGGGGGGTGTTGAGGAGGACTGAGGGAGAGGAGACCGGGGGGGGGGTTGTGGAGGACTGAGGGAGAGGAGACCGGGGGGGAGGGTGTTGTGGACTGAGGGAGAGGAGACCGGGGGGGGGGGGTGATGAGGAGGACTGAGGGAGAGGAGACCGGGGGGGGGGGTGTTGTGGAGGACTGAGGGAGAGGAGACCGGGGGGGGGGGGTGTTGTGGAGGACTGAGGGAGAGGAGACCAGGGGGGGGTGTTGTGGAGGACTGAGGGAGAGGAGACCGGGGGGGGTGTTGAGGAGGACTGAGGGAGAGGAGACCGGGGGGGGTGTTGAGGAGGACTGAGGGAGAGGAGACCGGGGGGGGGTGTTGAGGAGGACTGAGGGAGAGGAGACCGGGGGGGTGTTGAGGAGGACTGAGGGAGAGGAGACCGGGGGGGTGTGATGAGAGGAGGACTGAGGGAGAGGAGACCGGGGGGGGGGATGAGGAGGAGGACTGAGGGAGAGGAGACCGGGGGGGGGGTGTTGAGGACTGAGGGAGAGGAGACCGGGGGGGAGGAGGATTGAGGGAGAGGAGACCGGGGGGGGTGTTGTGGAGGACTGAGGGAGAGGAGACCGGGGGGGAGGGGTGTTGTGGACTGAGGGAGAGGAGACCAGGGGGGGGGGTGTTGTGGACTGAGGGAGAGGAGACCAGGGGGGGGGTGTTGTGGACTGAGGGAGAGGAGACCGGGGGGGGTGTTGAGGAAGAGGACTGAGGGAGAGGAGACCGGGGGGGGGGGTTGTTCAGGAGGACTGAGGGAGAGGAGACCGGGGGGGGTGATGAGGAGGAGGACTGAGGGAGAGGAGACCGAGGGGGGGGGGTGATGAGGAGGAGGACTGAGGGAGAGGAGACCGAGGGGGGGTTGTTGTGGAGGACTGAGGGAGAGGAGACGGGGGGGGGGTGATGAAGAGGAGGACTGAGGGAGAGGAGACCGAGGGGGGGTGATGAGGAGGAGGACTGAGGGGACGAGACCGGGGGGGGGTGTTGAGGTGGAGGACTGAGGGAGAGGAGACCGGGGGGGGGGTGTTGAGGAGGACTGAGGGAGAGGAGACCGGGGGGGGGGGTGTTCAGGAGGACTGAGGGAGAGGAGACCGGGGGGGGGAGGAGGAGGACTGAGGGAGAGGAGACCGAGGGGGGGGGGTGATGAGGAGGAGGACTGAGGGAGAGGAGACCGAGGGGGGGGGGGTGTGAGGAGGAGGACTGAGGGAGAGGAGACCGGGGGGGGTGTTGAGGAGGACTGAGGGAGAGGAGACCGGGGGGGGGTGTTGAGGAGGACTGAGGGAGAGGAGACCGGGGGGGGGTGTGTTGAGGAGGACTGAGGGAGACGAGACCGGGGGGGGGTGATGAAGAGGAGGACTGAGGGAGAGGAGACCGAGGGGGGGTGATGAGGAGGAGGACTGAGGGAGACGAGACCGGGGGGGGTGTTGAGGTGGAGGACTGAGGGAGAGGAGACCGGGGGGGGGGGGTGTTGAGGAGGACTGAGGGAGAGGAGACCGGGGGGGGGGGGTGTTCAGGAGGACTGAGGGAGAGGAGACCGGGGGGGGGGGGAGGAGGAGGACTGAGGGAGAGGAGACCGAGGGGGGGGGGTGATGAGGAGGAGGACTGAGGGAGAGGAGACCGAGGGGGGGGGGGTGTGATGAGGAGGACTGAGGGAGAGGAGACCGGGGGGAGGAGACCGGGTTGAGGAGGACTGAGGGAGAGGAGACCGGGGGGGGGTGTTGAGGAGGACTGAGGGAGAGGAGACCGGGGGGGGGGAGGAGTGAGGGAGGAGGACCGGGAGGGAGAGGAGGAGACCGGGGGGTGGGTGTGGAGGAGGACTGAGGGAGAGGAGACCGGGGGGGGTGTTGAGGAGGACTGAGGGAGAGGAGACCGGGGGGGGGTGTTGAGGAGGACTGAGGGAGAGGAGACACTGAAGGAGGGGTCACAGCTATAGTCTAGGACACTAGGTGAAGACATCTCCCCATCCCAGACAACACTCTACACTGACATTACAGCAAGTGAACGACCCCCATTTATGGACTAACAGCCCGCAAGACGGCAACAACCAGCACTATAAAGGCAATACAGATCAATATGCAAATTATTAGTAAACCTCGGCCCAAGGCAACACAAGCAGGAACGTTCCGTGCATACTGTCCACACTTTAATATTTATGTTTTATTAACGAGTATTTCAGTTAGGCATCGCTAATCCTAGGCTAATTATCTCTACACGTGGCAAAGTCCTATTTTTAACGTTTTAAGTAATCTTGAATCCGTCTTGTTATGCAGGTAAACTGTATAAAACAAGCCAACAAAGAAAAACACAACATTAGAGAAGGTTAGGAGAAAGAGACGAGGAAGGCTAGCACCTTCCAGAGCGAGGTCAACCCGACTCATGAATGGCAATTAACATTGATAAAACCTTGCCGACCTATGCTCAGAGCTGGCAAGGCAAACGGGCAAAGGAAAAGTAACATTAAAAACAAGACAGGAACAACCCAGGACCTCGGTTCTCATCACCCAGGAAATGAAAGTCTCCGAGGATACAGAATCTCGTACCAAAGAATTACCAAACGTCAACAATTTTAAAACTAACCTAAACCAGCCTAACAATACATATGATTTTAATCTGAAAGAGCGTAGTCGAAACTTCGATTGGACCATTCCCAGTCTTCAGTCTCCGACTTTTGGCCAGACAATCTGCTTCATAAACCCCACTTTACTTCCCGCATAATCAGGGAGGGAGGAGAGACGCTAAACTATTTGTACATGTTCGCAAATTGAAGTCGAGTGACCAAATGAAAAGCCTGCCACAGATTCAGTTGATATAGTACACAGTATATCTAGCGTCCATTAACTGGAAAAAATATTAGCCCTAAGATTAAGACCAAACCATGATCACAGTTAATTATTTGCTCTCGTCAAATCCTAAATGACATGGGCGCACGGACCAGTGGCATGCTATGGGCATATTGATATGTTTAATAAGGCAGAGCTTCTACCCAGATTAGTTCTAGGTTTAGACAGGCTACGTTGAACGTTCAAAATTGTAAAAGAAATTTGTACAATATAAGGGATCTTGTTCAATGGCCCATAGGTACCCTCCTTATGAATATAAAAAGATACAGGAAATAAACATTACAGGAGGTCACATCCAGTTCTCAAACGAATGTATATAGTACGATATGTACCCATGAACATTACAAAAGGCCTACTTGGCTTAGCTATTAGATAAATCTCAGAGGCATTTCAATAAGATACCTGTCAAATTCTAAAACCCCATACGAGGAAGAAATCAAGACGTCAAAACTGGGTGTCGGCCAGTATAGCAGCCTGACGTAGCCTCTGCTGGCCGTAGCCTAGCGCCACTGGGAAGCATCAAAGACTTACATGTGCTAAACATTTGAACAATTTGCGAGTAACGCCGAGAACGTTACTTCCCAGGTTCTTCCACAATTCAAAACTTCCCGCGCTAATATGATGATCATATCCGGTGACCGCGTAATAAGAACAGTGACTTGACAACTCTGTAAATCACCCGAGCTGCCAAGATGAGGCTGTATAAAGGTCTAAAGACTGGATAGATACATGGATCTGACCAACTATTCTAAAGGGACCCGTCTGGTATTTATCAGAACCAGGGAGACACAGGCTCTATACTATTACCCCCCCCCCCCCCAGCAAAAAAGTTTGTTTGAAAACTAATTTTGTTAATGACGTCAGTGAATAAAATTTAAGTCAAATGATCACTCAAATTTGTTGATTAAAGACCTAACAAGCATATTGCTCTGGTTAAGCTGACCTATGAGAGCAACATCAAGGACTTTTCAAGCAGAGCAGAACTTATTTATACCAAGTCGCAATACATAGCCTCAAGTCAGCCAATAACTCACTAGAAGGTCAACTAGATAATTAATACATTTGCAGGACTTTTACTGAAAGTATACTCTTCAAATCACCAAGCCTTCCTTGCAACAGATAAAGGGAAACGCCATAATATAATATTGCATGGAAGAGAACCAAGACCATTTTTTACGATACAAACCGAGGCGCTCAGTTGGTAGACTGGCTCCCTTCCACTGGCGTGATCACCACTTTCACTTGTGTGTAGGGATCATCAGGCCCCAAGCTGCTGCTGCTGCTACTCACACTAGACACAAACTTCTAAATATCTTACAAATCGAACTAACATACCCAGCCTACAGCAACACTGCATTCATATAGTCTTAAGCTGAAATTTAGATAGAGTAAGCACTCGAAAGTGTACATTCACGTAAACAATGCTTATCATACGATGCTGAAACTTTATACAGGGTAGAGTGAATGGGTAACATACATTGATTATCTTGTCTCGTTACAAGTTTATAACAATACAGGGAACCGCCCCCCCCCCAATAAAATGATCTTCCCCAGAACAAAACTACCCAGGGACCCCACCTTGGTACCACTGGGGTTATACTTAAAAGTAGCCAATACAAGTGATTTTATGTAAATACCACAAGCCTCGTACGCCAGTAGGCCTACTGGATTATTACCTTATTTGGGCCACAGTCTACTGCAGTGTTCTTTATACTACTTAATTTGATTTAGTTTATTATGCACCCGATACCATGGGCGGTAGTTGTAAGATGATAAAAGCACGGAAATAGAATCCTCAAACTGGTTTAGCCAAGCATTCGTTAAGAGAAATAAAGAGAAGTATGTGTGGGAAAGTTAGTAGAGCGAGTGGTAATGTGGGGAGACTGCATACCTTAGACTAGAACACCATGTGTTACTAGGTCATCGCCGCCGCCTACCTACCTAACTACATCACAAGAACAAATCCCTTTACCACCGGCCACGATGGCCAATCCTTACCTGGAAATTGAACATGTCGTCGAGGCGCTGGTTGACGTCGACGCCTCGCTTGGGCCGCATGAGCAGGTAGATCCTTCTGATGTTACATGCTCGAAGTAGTTTCTCCACCAGTACCTTTCCCATAAAACCTGTTCCACCAGTGATGAAGATTGTCTTATTTCTATACCATTCTGTTACTTCGCTGTCACCTAAACCCGACATCGTGATTTATGAATACCCTCACACTTAGCTCTTGAGAGAATACACTAAGCACGGGTGATATCCCTCAAGGAAGTGTTCGAGTGTCCAAAGTCACACGACGTCTGCCGGAGCACGCAAACGACCACCTCCCTCGTTCACTCCTTCACTTCAACTGAGGTTAGCGGGCTGACCGTAGAGGACTCGCTTAAGCCACGCCCCCTCACGCCACGCCAACCAGTCACACTGCTCGCCTCCCGTGGCGTCACACCCTAGCCAATCACACCACCAGCCACCCGTGACGTCACAGCCACACTTGACCCTTTCTCTTGCAGCAAATGAAAGTGACAGGTCAGTCGATTATATGCGTCGTGAGGTAGCCAACGAAAAGATCACTTCACTATCCCCACCGGCAGTAGCAGTAGAGAGGAGGAGGAGGAGGAGCGCGCGGCGGGCACCACTACCAACACTTTCTCCACTTTTTTTCCACCTCCGCCCTTCGTAAAGCTCCCATCAACCCACCAATTATGTCATCATATTATCTAACACCGATGCCTTTCAAGTAGTAAATAAAAAAACAATGCCTCTTGGCATACTGCTATGTTCCAACCTCTCTCTCTCTCTCTCTCTCTCTCTCTCTCTCTCTCTCTCTCTCTCTCTCTCTCTCTCTCTCTCTCTCTCTCTCTCTCTCTCTCTCTCTCTCATATATATATATATATATATTTTATATATATATATATATATATATATATATATATATATATATATATATATATATATATATATATATATATATATATATTAGTGAGTGGAAGGCGTGTTAGAGAAGTGTTGAGAGAGCTCCACGGTCACAGGCAGCCTGCCTGGTGTGTATAACACAAAACACACCATGACTGTGACGGTCAAACCCGCCACAAGCAGCAACAGTTGACAGCATCACTCAGCACTCCACTGTGGCTCCGTCAACCACATGGCGGCTTCTTAAACTAACAAACTGGATAGCTTCTTTACACATACACTGAGCATGAAGGCCATAACTGTATTACCACCATGTATAACCCCATCCAGTCATGTATAACCCCATCCAGTCATGTATAACCCCCCCCCAGTTATGTATGACCCCCCTCCAGTCATGAATGACCCCCTCCAGTCATGTATATCCCCATCCAGTCATGTATAACCCCATCCAGTCATGTATGACCCCCTCCAGTCATGAATGACCCCCTCCAGTCATGTATAACCCCATCCAGTCATGTATGACCCCCTCCAGTCATGTATAACCCCATCCAGTCATGTATAACCCCATCCAGTCATGAATGACCCCCTCCAGTCATGTATGACCCCCTCCAGTCATGAATGACCCCCTCCAGTTATGTATGACCCCCCTCCAGTTATGTATGACCCCCTCCAGTTATGTATGACCCCCTCCAGTCATGTATAACCCCCTCCAGATATGTATGACCCCCCTCCAGTCATGAATGACCCCCTCCAGTCATGTATGACCCCCTCCAGTCATGAATGACCCCTCCAGTCATGTATGACCCCCCCCAGTTATGTATGACCCCCCTCCAGTTATGTATGACCCCCCTCCAGTTATGTATGACCCCCCTCCAGTTATGTATGACCCCCTCCAGTCATGTATGACCCCCTCCAGTCATGAATGACCCCCTCCAGTCATGAATGACCCCCTCCAGTCATGAATGACCCCCTCCAGTCATGAATGACCCCCTCCAGTCATGAATGACCCCCTCCAGTCATGAATGACCCCCTCCAGTCATGAATGACCCCCTCCAGTCATGTATGACCCCCTCCAGTCATGTATGACCCCCTCCAGTCATGAATGACCCCCTCCAGTCATGAATGACCCCCTCCAGTCATGAATGACCCCCTCCAGTCATGATTGACCCCCTCCAGTCATGTAAGACTCCCTCCAGTTATGTATGACCCCTTCCAGTCATAAATGTCCCCTTCCAGTCATGTATGACCCCTTCCACTCATGAATGACCCCTTCCAGTCATGTATGATCCCCTCCAGTCATGTATGACCCCTTAAGTCGTGTATAATACCCTCCAGTCACGTATAACAACACAATTTTGTACAACCCTCTATTCCTCCTTAAGAAAGCAATCGTCCAGTGTGTTATATATGAAAAGACCTTACGAGACACAGGTCATCCGTCTAGTAAGGCTCCTCTCACCTCCCTGACGCTCTAAATAGTTGTTGTTGTTGTTTTAGATTCATCAACTCGAAACAAAAAGTTACAATTACCACGGGCTATAGTGAGCCCGTAGTGGACTTACCTGGCACAGGAGCGAGGCTGTGACTGTGTTAGTTAAGCTCTGGTACGCAGCTTGTCTTCATCCTGTTACTAACCTATGTGTAATCTACCACTAAATATGGGTCATCCCTCATGGAATCTAATCAATAAGCTCGTTAAATAAAGGTCTCTTCAGATGAGCTGAGGTAGGATTGCACCTCTTATTAGCTTGTAGTTTCACAAGGAACATCCTAATGAACCGTAGTCTTAATTAAACAAATATATATGTCGTACCTAGTAGCCAGAACGCACTTCTCAGCCTACTATGCAAGGCCCGATTTGCCTAATAAGCCAAGTTTTCCTGAATTAATATATTTTCTCTAATTTTTATCTTATGAAATGATAAAGCTACCCATTTCATTATGTATGAGGTCAATTTTTTTTATTAGAGTTAAAATTAACGTAGATATATGACCGAACCTAACCAACCCGACATATATATATATATATATATATATATATATATATATATATATATATATATATATATATACACATATATATATATGTCGTACCTAGTAGCCAGAACGCACTTCTCGGCCTACTATGCAATGCCCGATTTGCCTAATAAGCCAAGTTTTCATGAATTAATTGTTTTTCGACTACCTAACCTAACTTTTTCGGCTACCTAACCTAACCTATAAAGAAGGTTAGGTTAGGTTAGGTAGGGTTGGTTAGGTTCGGTCATATATCTACGTTAATTTTAACTCCAATAAAAAAAATTGACCTCATACATAATGAAATGGGTAGCTTTATCATTTCATAAGAAAAAAATTTGAGAAAATATATTAATTCAGGAAAACTTGGCTTATTAGGCAAATCGGGCCTTGCATAGTAGGCTGAGAAGTGCGTTCTGGCTACTAGGTACGATATATATATATATATATATATATATATATATATATATATATATATATATATATATATATATATATATATATATATATATATATATATATATATATATATAATATAAATTCTATGGCAGGACGAATAGATTAGACAGGATGTAGAAAAGAAGGACAGACTGCATGTTCCTAGATTGCTAGAGAGCCTTCGCGAGTTAAAAGAAAGCCAAGGTTAGGCTACGGTGAACCAGATGATTAAACGTTAAAAGCCGGAGCCCAGAAGTGGAACACAGTCGCCACACACTCAGCAAGGTAGGCATGTGCACACACGGTTAAGATGGGAACTTTTATTACGTCACGGGAGATTTCTGCTAAACAGGATATATATATGACCGTGGTTGTGGTGTTCCCAGAGCCCGCAGGTGTCCTCGACTCACGCCGCCTATGTCACACGCTCCCACAAATACGTTTATGAAGCGGGCTTCACCGTCATGACAGGACGAGATTTCCAATGAAAACAATTTACATAAGCTTGTTATGAAGCATTGGTAGCCTTCACAGTGACGTCTTGGCTCGTCATCTTTCATTTCCGGGTGTGAACTGTTTTACTCTCAGTTAACCATCTGTTGTACGGGATGATCTGTACCTACCATATAAATAATTCTCATTTAGCCTAATTAGTACAATAATATGAATGACTCAGATTTATATTAAAAGATCAACGTAGAGTGTTGAGACTCGGCTGGTCCTGGGAGGCAGTTAACAACACCAAGTTTGACATATCATGGGAAACCCAGTGAAGTAAAATACAAATGTATGAATATATGAGTTTTATCTTATTTACCTTGGCTCTCGACGACAATATAACGCAAGATTTTTTGATAAAGCTTCGCTGCCCAAGGATTCATCTTATTTATTGTTATTGTTTATCTAATGACAAGTACACAATTTTGACGTGTTATTTCCCGCAGTTCTTCGGTAATGTTCAGCCTCAAACTGACCATCTTAAGGTCTTAAGATGGTCAGTTTTATAATTTTATATATCAATATATAATTTTAGACATTATATATATGTAATGTGTCTTTATTTATAGACTTAAAACTTAGTGGTAGAATCTTGTCATCCATAACATTTTCTGATCAGTCCTAGTGTACTATGATGGGGTGTTAGTAATCCTTGTGTGTAAAGATCGGTCCTAGTATACTATAATACCTGTTTAATCTGCTAAATTGGTTAATATTCCAGTTTATTGAGGCAATAAGTTCAAGTTCAAGTACATTTATTGAGACAACAATATACATCTCAGAGGGATAGAGTAGCTTAGGCTATTTCTACCCCCCCCCCCTACTTCAAGTCTCTCAAGGGGCACACAAATCCAGTTAGTACAAACCACGAATCACAATACAAGAATTCCATTTAACATTGCGGGTTAATATAGTAAGCACAGCATATAAGTGTTATTCTCTTGGGGCAAAATGCTTGTGGCTCCTAAGTATTCTGTCTATCATACCATTACCACACATCCAAACAATTTGATGTGTTACACTACTTATTTCCTTGTATCTATAGTTATCAATACGTTGATACTCGAATTCATAATGTTCTAAGGTGTGGGCGTGCGGCATACTACATAATTTACACTCCTTATCTTTTTCACTGACATCAACACCGTATTGCCAGATATATTTGTATCCTAATCTTAATCTCATGTAAATTGAATCTTTCCAAGTAACTTACTTCCCTCTGCCATAAGTGAAGGACGAATTTGTATTTATTATTGCATAATTCTTAAGTGTGTTACTAATGTCCACCATTGCCATTCTCTTAACTTTTCTTCATCTCTTGATTCTTGTCTTTATTTGTTTCAAAGTTTTCTGACATAAAACATCGACAACAGTTCTTTCCGAGGCTCTCTTCGCTATCTCATCAACTGCCTCATTCAACAGTATTCCCACATGTGAAGGTCCACACGCATCTTACCTTATACCCATTTTTTCTAATGTCTTAACATTCTCTCTACACCGATCACAATATTCTGGTATACTGGTCGTCTGCTATTTAAAGGCTCCAACGCTCCTCTACTGTCTATAAAGAAACAGACATGAATGACTACTTCCTTTAATCATACACCTTGGAGTTCAGCCTGCGTTGAAGAGACATTGTCAGTTAAGCGGCTGTTGTTTGTTGTTTTAGATTCAGCTATTTAAACAACAAAACGTTGAAAGTAGCACGGGCTATGGTGAGCCCGTAGTGGACTTACCTGGCACAGAAGCGGAGCTGTAACTTTGAGAGTTAAGCGGCGTCCAATAACAGTATCTACAGTGCCGATGTCAGTGTACTCCCTAATCAAGACTCCACATCCTGCCTTTCCATCCCTAGCTACTGACTCATCACAATATACTTGTAGAGTATTTTCTATAGGTAATATT